AAATTTTGCTTCGTTTTGTACATCAAGTAGTCAGAGGAGTCGCGTGTCACGCAATGTTTACTACGTATGACTATTCCATAGACCTTAAAGCAATTTACCTAACATTTCTAAAATAAATATATACAAATACAAGAAAATAAACATACAAATAAAGAAACGTGTACAGAATAAAACAAAACAGATCGTTTCTAAGAACATAGAATTATTTCATAAATGGAACTGGTTGATGTAAAAGCTTATTTGCATTTTTTCATGTCTAGGGTTTATTTGTGCTGTAGTAATTCACATAAGTTTGTATGGTACAGTACAGTCTTTTAATATGACATGGTCATCTCAATTGAACAGGCAAATAGTGGTCAGGGACACGGAAAATCTTTGCCATTGTGACGCCTCCATTTGACGATGATCCAGCTCAGCAGCAGCAGAATAGACAGACAGTGTGCAACTTCACAGCTGGAATTAAGGAAGCGGTGAATCCACTAATGCAAAAGATGGTAGACATGGATGAGAAACTCAGCAAGGCACATGCCTTTATGTTAAAAGGGCCTGAATCAGTTTATAAGGATATAGCTGTATTTGCTAAAGATATGTTTAAATGCCCAATCTGTCTTGCTGCTCCAAAAGATGAAATACCTTCAGCAGTTTCTTGCTGTAACCATATCTTCTGTATATCCTGTATCAGTGAGCTAGTTAAGAGAGGGGAGATAATGTGCGCTCTTTGCAAACAGAGGCGGGGCCCACAATACCTAAGCTTGCTGTCTGATGCAAGAGAGTTGGTGGAGAAAATATCAGCCATTCCATCAATAAGTGAAAGTAATGAGTGACTCAGTATAGTGTTTTGTTAAAGACCTGGTCCTAGATATTTAAATGGTGGATGGCATGGTACAAAAAGAAAAAAAAACTAGGTGCAGTTTTGTGAAAGAGACCAAACTCATTTTTGCAAAGTTCACATTATGATAAAGAGTTTTTCGTCAAAACTGTACATTGTGGTATGAATCAGTAGTACAAAGGAATGTTCAATCACTTAGTGATGTTAAAATGAAAATTGAGCATTTAACCCTTTTAAAGTTCTTTAAACTTTGATTCAAATTTAAGGGAAAGCAGAAGGCCATTTTTACAGCTGTTATATTGGTCTTCATACAAAAAATTTACTTTGTACGTTCGTTGTTGTTAAGGTTTTTCTAGACTTATGATATTTCTTGATTCATTGAAAGAAAGAGAAAAAACATTCAAACTGTTCTTAGTATTTATTTTTTATCATCTCATTGGGGACCGTTCATTTTTTATGGGGTAGGGGGGGCTGGTGGGATTTTGAGGAGTGTAATTTGAACATTGTATGACCCCCCCCCCGATTTCCGATTTTTTTCTCATGGGCCCCCCCTCATCCGAGTAGTTTTTTGGAAGGCCCCCTCCCCCATGAATAAAGAAATACATAAGGTATTAAAATTTCTTTTTGTTACATTTCACGTAATTTAGTGAAAGAAAGCTGAAAGCTAGAAAGCTGTTTTTAACAAATCCTCACTCAAAAGAATGAAAAGTCAATTTCAGCTCTTCTTGTTACTGCTCGTCCTGAGCGTGTTGTAGCTGGCCGCTCGTCTACATATTCCTCGTCTGAGGCGATAAAAGCAAGAACGACATCATTTGAGTCGTCTTCAGAGTCAGGGGCATCACTCTTGTAATCATCCTCAGTTTCTTCTCCCTCACTGCTTTCACCACTGCTGTCTAGTTGACCTGATTCATTGCTGCCTCTCACTTCGGCTTGACCTGTTCTGAGAGTATTCATCTGCAGGAAGTGTCCCATAATTGTCTTTACTTTGTCATTCTTGCTGATCTTCTGGTGCTGTGTTAATAGCCCATGATGTTGTAAGTATTTGTTCAATTCTGGCACACAGAGCTTTTTTAGCTTGGCGGCATCTTCGCACAAAGTAGCCCAATGATAATCATCATAGGACTTTTCTCTTGCCTCCCTACTTTCCCTTGCCCTTTCCGCCAGTCTCATTTTACATGTTAACTGTTGTTTTATATATTAGAATGGTCACAGAAAGCAAAGCAGTGACTCCGGGTGGCATTGCCAGACAGATGTCTGCTTTGAGGTGTTACTTGTGCACCGTTTATCACTAGTATTATTAAACTACGAGTAAATGCTCTATAAAATTAAATTTACAAAAAACATTTTTTTTTCTTCTTAGAATTCTGTGACCCCTGTTGGAATAGATGGCATTCCAAAGGAACTCTTCAAAGCCATAAGAAACAAGTCTTGTTACAAGAAGCAACTGATGAAGCCAGACCTTTAGAAGAAGACGTGACTGTAAGTGGTACTATAAAGTAGCATGTTATTGTTATATTTACATGCAGTGTAATCAGTCCTATATGCGCAGACATTGGCATGTATGCAAACATATCATTTCCTACCATGATACTCGGTAATATAAAACAAGATTAACTGTTACATTATTTTTAAGGAAGATTCCTATTTTACTTGTAGGTAATAAGCTCTTCAATGTCTGCTGATGCCGGCATCCCAAAGAGACTCCAAAAAGCAAGTCTTGGTTTCATTGCTCATCCAAAAGGAAAAAGATCGCTTTACTACATGTCTATCATGAAGGAAGCTCACACCAAGATGCCAAAGGATGGTGAAAGCGACGAATCCTTTAAAAAGCGATTCACTGCTGAACGATCCAGGCAGTTCGATTTTTTGATGTCAGAGGAGGCTGCTTTTCAAAGGGCAGATGGTTGCTCGGAGAGGTTAGGAGAGTTGCTACAACCAGAGTACCAGTTAAAACCTAGTAATGGACAGAGACAACTACGTTATAAAAGAACACAGAGAGGCTGTTGAGAAACTGAAAGGGCAGTTAAAAATTCTGAGTGATCATGACTCCACGCTCTTCGAGGCGAATGGCATTACCCTGAAGCCTGCCAAGAAATTCCACCATGACTTCAATGTGCAGTACATCGCTAGGATTGAGGCAAAGCAGCTCAAGGTTTCAGGGGAATTAGAAAACCTGGAAACTTCTTCAAGGGCTTAACAGGACACTATGTGTCAAAAAAAAGCAAATTAAAACAAAACCGTAGGAAATCAAAGGGCAGAAAACGCAAACGGTTTGAAAACAACGTCCTACGCGTGTATCATATCTGCGTTGCAAATCCCCTTGCAAAAGAGCTTCCCAATTGTCTTTTTATCCTCCCTCCATGAGGCTTCTGCGTCCAAAAAAGAAGCCCAAATCAGATACAGACTTAACAAAATGTATTATTTGTCAAGAAAAAAGCAGTGAAAGACTAAGAAGTCCTACCGAAGCTGGATTGAGATCGTTTAAAGAAGCTGTAGAGGTTAGGAAAGATGAAACTTACCACAGGATTTTGTCGACTTTCGAAAATTTAGACGCTCTAGATGTTGTCTGGCACGGCAAGTGTTTTCAAAGTTATACAAGCAAGAGAAATCTTAGCTTTATTAAACCATTACCTTTTGCTGAAAGTCAAGAAAGACACGTTGACAGACCAAGTTCGAGATCGCAAGTTAATGCAGTGGATTGGTCCCTTTGTCTATTTTGGCAGCAGAAAAAGTAAAAGGGGACAACAAAACTTATGAACGTTTCAACATTTGATTCATGCAAGGCTATAGAGGAGGCTGCAAGAAGAAGGAGTGATGAGAGCATGCTGTTGAAGATTTCAGGAGTTGATTTGATTGCTGAGGAGGCCAAGTATCGTAAACACTGCCGCTCCCAATATGTAAATAAATCCAACCTAATGTTTGTTGACTTTCGAGTTGATGGGGAGGAAGATGTCTACACCCAAGCGTTCCAAAACCTGAGAGAGGACATCAAACCTGAGTTAGAATCAGGAGTGGCCCTTGATATGAAAACCCTCTTGGACTCTTACCAGGGAATTTTGCAACACCTTGGCTGCAACACGGCAAAAAGTTACAAGTCAGAGAGGTTAAAACGCAGACTGCAACAAAGTTTTCAAGAGGAAATTGTCTTTCAGAAGCTACCGGATCCCTCGAAGCCAGAGTTGGTTTACTCTAGCTCTGTATCTTTGCAGGATGTCATCAATTCAGCCCCTAAGAAAAGTTGCCATTTGGCTAAAATGTCAGCGTCTTCTGAAGATAAATCCTCAAACAGCCAGGGTCAGAATGATGTCAATTCCACACTATACCACGCCGCTCAAATACTGAGGTCAAGCATACGGAGTGAAAGCAAAAGTATAGGGATCCAACCTGTTGATGTGGAGGACATCAGGGCCTGTAAAGTAAAGAGTTTAATGCCTAAAGATCTTTACAATTTTTTGTGCTTGATGATCTCGAATCCAGATAAAGTTGATGTATTTGCTCCGACTGCTTCCAATGCCGCAGATGAGCAACATATTTTAGCAATTTCACAAGATCTAATATATGCAACAACTCATGGTCGCGTGAAGACCCCTAAGCACATTGGTTTGGCGATGTCTGTTCGCCATATGACAGGTTCAAAGCACCTGGTAACGATGTTAAACAGATTCGGTCACTGCTGTTCTTATGATGACATAGAAGTAGTTGACACTAGCCTAGCATGAGACATTATAGCCAGCTCAGAAAATCTGGGTGCTGTTGTTCCATCTAACATTTCACCAGGAGTGTTCGTTCAAGTCGCGGGAGACAATAACGTTATCAATGAGGAGACACTAGACGGCAAGCAAACTACTCATGCCACTACACTTGTCCTGTACCAAAGACAGCAACAAGGACCAAAACCGAAACCTGAAGTTCGTCCTGCTCATTCAGAAAAACGACGGTCTCTTAACATCTCAGATGCAAATCCACCCCTGTTGGAGTTTGGTGCTTGTGGCAAGCGGCCTGCGGTAACCTTTTACAAAGACAAAATGGAAAAAGAGTGGTTTCAGTCGTCAAGCTCGCTCTGTACCACTGCAATTCAGATGGATTTTGGTTGGTTTTTAACACGTCTGTGTACCCACCAGTTGTTTAGTGAAAATCTACATAACCGTGACGGCGAAGTTTTTCAGCCCTTGCCAAGTGGGAGTGGGTTTAACGCAGAGATAGCAAGTGAGCCTCCACCCTTGACCTCCGTTGGTTACTGTCCAATGATCAATGGTTCACCTACTGAATACAGTACAGTTTACACTGCCATGAAGAACGTCCAAGCAATGATGGATGTACTACACCAGAAGCACAGTGTAATTACGTTTGACCTGGCAATCTACATGAAGGCCAAAGAGATTCAGTGGCGACGGCCTGAAGAATTTAAGAACACAGTGATCCGAATGGGAGGTTTTCATATAGCATTAAACTTCGTCTCAGTTATTGGAAAGATTTTCCAGGACAGTGGCATTGAAGACCTGCTAATAGAATCTGGTGTGTATGGATGCCACACGGCATCTATGCTATTGAAGGGAAAGTCATACAACAGAGACGTGCGTGCACATAAGCTTGTTCTCGAAGCACTACTGAGACTGCAGTGGCAAGCATTTGGAGCTTGGATGGAAGCTGAGGACGTCGAGCTCCCAACAGTATATCAGCGCCAGTGTTTATCTTTAATAAACTGTTGCCAAAGAGAAAGTAATGATGTAGCCTCTCTGAAGAGCTCATTCGGTCTTCTCTGCGACAAACTCCCACAACTTCAACAACTTTTCGCGAGATTCTGCACAGAAGCTAGTCAGCAGTCTAAACTATTCCAGTTCTGGAATATGTATATTGACATTGTTCTAGTGCTGTTGCACTTCATTCGAGCTGAACGAGAAGGATCATGGAAACTTCATTTGAAAGCCGTTGCAGAAATGGTACCGTACTTCTTTTCAATGGATCGCATCAACTATTCCAGGTATGTGGGCAATCGATTTATTCTGATTATCTTTTTTCATATCTTTCAGATTGACCGGAAATTGTGCATCAGTACTAAAGAACAGTAGCCTAATTGAACTTTAATAGAGTGATCGCTACGAGGATTAGAGGTCTTATATGATAAGGATTTGTAATATGATAAGGATTTGTAAGGATTTACTCCCCTTTGCTTCGAAATCATGCGTTTTGTTTAAGACTGAATTATAATATATCGAACTTATTACGGGATTTAGTCTTTACCCCAAGTGGTGAACGCGTTTGTTCAAACGCATGAAGAGATCTACACATTATCATAGGATGTTACCTTATTATGCGGTTAGCTTTAACTTTCTCACTTACCCGGCCCCTTCTTACGTTTCTCTTATTTTGACCTCCTCCTCCAATAAATTGCAGGTGGCTCCCAATCTACTTGGCTGATATGCAGCTGCTTCCCACTCACGCTCCAGAAGTTTACTAAGAATTCCTAAATGGAAACCACCCAGAAAGTAGATCAAGTCAACCCTTTAGCCAAGTTTGGACTGACATGGCCTTGCAACAAACCATCTCGACAGCAAGTCTAGAGGAGGTATTGTTGGCTTGACACAAAATGCTTCGGCACTAGACAGATGGTTTATAACAAGTCACAAGAGAGCTGAGCTAACTGCTGCAACCAAGCGCCTTTGCAACCTTGAAGACTCTGACAAGATTGGGACTCACAAGGAGGCAGGTTCCCAAAGAGTAAAGAGGGATGAAAACGATGTTCAGCGGCTGATTAACACCATTACTGATACCATGTCAAACCCTTTTGATTTGAGTGAGGCATCGAAGGAAGACCCAGTTCAATTACGAAACATCGCCACTGGACTCGTTATGCCACATGACGAGGCAGAGCAGCTCGTTGACTGTTTCAGCACAGGAGCAGAAGAAGCAAAGAAATTTAGGAGACAAAGAATGGGCAGTGATGAGGTATCCTTTTGGAGCAAGATATCGAAATTGAATTTGAAAACATTTGCTTCTCTGGCAAAAACAAATCAAATCAAGTGCGCAGACGAGAAGATCATCACTATTTCAGCTGACAGAAATTTGTTTGGAAGACTTCTAATTGCCTCAAAGTGTCGTGACATTGATGTGAAAGAGGTCCTGAGATATGAACTGTCCACCGTGCCCTTTGTATTGGCACATGCAGATGGTGCTTTGCGGAAAACTACAAAAAGTGTTGAGGTTGAACGGGAATGTCAAGCACAAGGAAGACTTCCTGAAAAAGCACTATCAACTGCATTCATTTTTGATGCAATGGCTCTTGTCCAGACGTTCAAGTCTGCAGGCTCCCGCACATTCAAAGACCTGGCTGAAAGATTCTTTAATGTGCTCTTCACACCTCTACGACAAGGTCAGTGCAGAAGAGTAGATGTTGTCTTTGACCGCTATGATGTTCAAGAGTCCATAAAGGAAAGTGAAAGAGTTAGGAGGGGTTCAAGCAGAGCTCTTGAGATCCAAATCCCAAACAAGCATACACCAGTTCCAAAGCAATGGGGGAAGTTCAGGGCTGTCAATAAGTTTTGAAGTAGCCAGCAGCTTTTGGAAAGTAGGCGTCAGCCTACTTTCCGAGCGCCGAAGGCGCGAGCCTCCTAGGGGGGTCTGGAGGCATGCCCCCCCCAGAACATTTTGAAATTTAGATGCTCGGAAATGCTATTTTCGACGTTTTCCTGACAGTATTTGGGCCCTAAAGAACAATCAAAATAAGACTATATTAACCATATTTTATGTTTATAACAACTATTCTTGTTAAAAGTTCAACCACTTGTACTGGCTTTAAAAAAGAGCAAAATGATATATCTTCAAAAAAGACATTGAATGTTTTAAGTTCTCATAGCCATTGTCCTTTTAACTCTGCTCTTTGGCGAACTGGTGTACACTTATTGGTAACAATACTGAAAGCTAAAGAGTCATTTATATTACAACCATTCTTTTTCACAAAAATTCAACCACTGACGTTTAGAAAAAAGAATCAGAAAATACATCTCAAGATACATTTCGAAATACTGATTAAAAAATACTTTCAATGTTTTAAGTAAAGTTCATGTTGTCATGTGACAATACTGAAAGCTGAAGTATAATCCTTATTACAACCATTTTTTCTTAAAAATGCAACTTCTGACTTTTAGAAAGAACGAAATAAGACATATCATGTTCAAGTACTAATTAAAAATTAAAATACATGTCCTTTAGCTTTTCACTTTTCCTTTTGAGCATGTCCTCTGTTCCTTTGGGGACCTGGTTTTGAAGTAATTAAAGTAAAGTTACTGTTAGTCGTCCATATCAGACTCAAATGCACTGTCTGACGACAATGACAGATCAAGTTCCTTTGCAAGTTCCTCTTCAAGTTCCTCTTCTTGCTCTCGGGTGGAACAGGATGGTTCCCCTTGGTCTGAACTTGGCATGCTCTCAACTTCTTGTGTTCCGCTGCCTCCTCCTTCTTCTTCTCCTTCCTCCACTTCATCCTGGTTGTTTTGTGCATTTTGTGCATTTGGTTGCTGAAGACAAGACCGTGACAGTTTTTTTCTCTTCTTCTTCTCCTTCCATAACTCCACTGCCTTGTTAATCACAGCTTCAGATTCTTTTACTGGTGGCCCATTTATGGCAATATGAAGCAGACTTTCGAGCATCTCCTTCTTCAGGGAATTTCTCAGCCGTGTTTTTAGGCGTTTTAGGGCACTGGCCCCCCTTCCTGGCCATGCATTAGAAACAGGCATAGAGAGGCAGATTTCTGCCACTTGTAACAGCAAGGGATAACTTCTGCTGTAGGATTCTTTTTGTCTTAGGAACCTCTGTAGGGCCCATTCTGTGGAAGTTGCAGAAGGTGAAGGAATAGCCTGGTAGTCCTTACTCCAGTCGGACAGCTCATACTTGAAGTTGTTCCATTCAGCTTCCAGTTTAAGGCGTTTGCTGCTGTTTTCATCTCCACTAAAAAAAGTGATTTGCAAGGGTTTGATGTCGTTTTGTCCATATCCTACAAACTCAGGGTTTGCAATAGGCATGGAAAGTGGATCAAAGATACGGAAGGATGAAACGACTGGCAAAGAGTGCTGGAAGCGTTGGTCTATATTGTCTGTCAAGGCTGTCACATATTGGGAGCATAGGTCGTGCATCTTTGCCTCTGTCTTTGTTATCTCATCTTCACTGAACTCAAGGCAAGCAAGTTTTCCAGTTGTTGTCTCCTTTCGGAACTCTTTGACAGTGATGTTTTCTTGAACAAGCTTGTTTAGAGAATCTTTAGATGCTTTGATGGCAGGGGAAATACGAGAAAAAGATATGGACCCCTTTTGAAACACCTTACTAAGAATCGAGAGCACAGGCAGAATACCTTTTAAGATATACAGAACACCAATAAAATCAGGTTTCTTCAACTTCTTAAGGAGGCCTATAGCCGTAGGGTTAGAGTCCTTGTTCTGATACCATCGCAAGGTCTGAAGAAGGGCTGGCAAGTTTCGACACACACTCTCCACAGATTTATCCAGAGATAGCCATCTTGTTCGGCATGCTTTCTGTACCTTTGTTGCAAGTTTTTCTTTGCTCTTTTCAGACATGCTGTCAAGTTTCTTCATCTCAGAGGAAGTTTGCACATAAACTGCTGACCTTGCTGCTGAGTTTTCAAAGAAACTCCAGAGCTGCCGAAGGACAGTTTCTACTTGCGATATTTGGGTCAGGTTGTCATTTGCATCATTGCAAGCAAGGGCGAGGCGGTGGCAGATACAGTGGATGTTAATCAGAGTTGGGACTGTTTCCCTCAGCTTGGCTGCTACCCCATTGCGAGAGCCTGTCATGACACTTGCCCCGTCACTGGCTAGACTACCGAGCTTAGTGATATCCAAGCCATCGTTTGACAATTCTTCCTTGATAAGTTTTACAATGGTCGCTGAATTTGCAGATGTCGAGCTTTCAAGCACATTCTGAATTGACAGAAAATGGACTTCTGGTGCACCTGTCTCTGGGTTAGCAAACTGTATAAAAGAAATCAGCTGCTCAACCACAGAGACATCGGTGGCTTCATCCACCATCAGGCCATAGCTGTCTGCGTTCTTTACCTTCATTAGCATTTCATCCTTCAAAGCTTGGCCCAACAACAAAAACAATTCTCGTTGTGAACCCTGAGATCTGTGGGCAAAACGCTTTATTTCAGAAACGCCAAGA